ATCACATGTTTGCTTGACAAAACTACATCTGAATTCCTGGCTCAATGTTTTGCTGGAGGAGCAGATACACTTTAGACATGATTATCTACCACAAAATAACTCACCAAGAACAACATGAGATTATTTATAGTTCTTTATTCAAGTTTCCCAGTCTTTTAACTGGACTAAGGTCTTATAGTCATGGGCTATATCTATGTAAACAATTTAATGTATAGATACCCTGCATCATAATATTTCAGTAAAATTTTAGATAGGAATTTTCTCTGGACAAAGCAGTTTAAAATATCCAGTGGAAATATATGCTGCTTATTTGTGACAACACTTTTTAATGACTGAGGCATATGCCCTCTATCTTAGATAACATAAAGACAGGTCATGTTTCATATACAGATAATATGATTTTGTCAGGATAATCTAAGGTGATCCAGAATTCATCATTTTATTTATTTTGTCTAAATGTTATTTGAAAGAATTTTAACTGTAACAATGTAATTGTCATTATTAAGATATTCTTTTAAGTTTCTTTATTTAGTTAGCTCAGTGTATGTATATTTTACAGATAGTTCATGTTCAGAAGCTACCCCAGGGGGGAAAAAATCATTGTTCAAAGGGGGCTTTATTGATACTTAGTTTAATTTAGATTAATAATTATTAACATTTTTCAACCTACTCTGACCAAGTCCATTTAGAAATAAACTCTCTGTGCTGGTTAGGTCCTCTGGGACCTAATAGAGTTTGAAATGCAAGAGATATGCCTGTGAAAGATAAATTGGAGATAGGCATAGGCTGACTTTGAAAGTAGGTACACAAAAGGTGGAGGGCATGCCAATTATCCAGATCAAAGAATGTGGCAAGAAGGAGCCAGTGAAGATTATGCAGGAGCTAGAGCCACTGCTTGGCAGCCATTGGCTTAGGCACAGAGTGGTTGTTCAATTAATACTAGTTCATTTGAAGCTTAGTTGACCAACAGCAGAGTTAAACATATGCAAGGTCACATGTAGTCTCTTCTGTAGCATAAAGCACATTTTGAGAAGGCAATTTAAAGAAGGCAGTATGAGGCACAGTTCATGAACAGAGCGCGGAACAGAGCCCAGAACTTTTACCCTCCAATTGGTGATCCAACTCGCTGCATTCTCTCTTCTCCCTCCACCCCCCGCTGCAAAGCTTGGTATGTGTTGAATACACTCAGTAGTTCTCAACATGTTTTTTCCTTACAGTTCTTTATTAGCAACATTCATTTAGGTTTTGGACTCTTGTCAAATGTAATGTGAATGGAGACCAGATGCCTTTTCTGAACTCAACAGAACAAGAGGAGAGTCACAGAGCCCATCTTGCCACAATCAAAACTAGTGCTTACAACACCCACTGTTGGTGACAGGCTGTGTGGAACAGGGCCAGTGCTGATCTAGCAGTATATGCCAACTCAATGAGTCAGAAAAATGTTTCAGATGTGCCAGGTTGTTCAGAAATCCCCACCAGTTCCCGGGCGGAATAATCATTGTGTTCCCCAAGCATAAGGATTAGAGATTAGAAGAAGCAATTTGCACATCCCTTGCCGGCAGCAGAGGACCACTACTTTTAAAAGGGGGACTACCTAGTTGCATGAAGGGCTGAAAAGGCTAGGGTCACTGGCAGCAATTCAAAACACAAGGATGGGGGAGAAGCAATTGTGGGAAGGAATTCAAGGCAAACAAAAGGATTAACAGCAAAAAGATGCAGGGTGTAGGGAGACGAATGATTATCATTTGCTGTGGGTTTAGCAACACTGACATGTTTTTATGAATATTTACAAGAACATTTGGAAGCTGTGTCTTTTGCCCACACAGCCTCCACCCGCAGCTCTCTTGGTAGAAACTGCACCATATTTCATGAGGACGGGGTGGGAGGAGAAACCAGGTCCCCTTAGCCTCCAGGTTGCCATGACCTTGCCTAGTTGCCAAGACTCCCGGAGGCAAATATAAGTGAAGGAAAAGTTCAAACAAGAGAAGCCAGGCCTGGGTTTCTGTGATTGTAATATGAAGCCTGGTGATTAAAGGGAATGAGAAGTGAAAGAAATGTTGGTAAAAAAAAAAAAAAGATAGGAGAGGGGAAAACTGAGAGTCTGGGGAGAAAGACCCATTTTGATGCCAATGCTCTTGCTCTCATCAGTAAAGAAGTTTATCAGCATCTCTAAGCCTAATGAATTTTTAACAAAATCACATCAATTCTCAATTTTTATGAGTGGACTGATGAGTCAGCCTCCTATCACCCTGACTCCTGCTGTCTGGCCTATAGTCCACGTCATTCTACCACCGCCTCCACCAGAGGAACCTTCTTTCCTCCTTGATATCTCTAGTTTCTATGCCCTTGAGTATTTCTCTAAATGTGTATTGAGGCAGAAGAGAACAGTAGTTAAGAGAACAGGCTCTGAAACTACACTGTCTGCATTCTAATCCTAGCCCTAACACTCTGAGAAAGTTGTCTAGCCTCTTTAAATTTCAATTTCTTCATCTGTAAAATGGAGCTGATAGTAGATAAGGTTTATCTTTGGAAATATCCCAAGAAAAGCATTTGTTATGCAGTAAGAGCTCAATAAATGTTAGTATTATTATTACACACCACCGTCTACTTTCAGACAATAATCATCTTGCATTTGACCCATGCTTTCATACAGCATACACTAATACACCTAAAATGCTGAATTTCAAATGTCAGCTGTTTCACAATGATGTCTAGTTAATCAGGACTCTTGACTACCAGCTACTGAGAGAGGACAGGAGATTCATATGTTGGGATTTGTGGCAGTGTTAACCTGTGGGCTGATGCAAAGCAATCTTTCTGGCAGGTCTGTGTTGTCTCTTCTATTCATATGTCATCATTACCCAAATAGAAAATTATGATTACATTTTTTTCTAATAAAGTTTATTTTGTTATTTTTTTCCCAGAGTTAATATTCACATCACATTTTTTGTTTAGTTGGTTGATTTTCTATATCTTTCTCTAATTGTTTCCAAACTCCTTAAAAGAGATATAAAGTCCCTTTAGTCAACATTTTCCACATAATCGAGTGATCAAATTCCTTTTGTTTGCTAAAGACAGACCTGCTGGAACTTTCTACCCTCATGCTCTGATCTGTACTAGTGGCTCTCAGTATTCACATAGGTTTCCCCTTCACATCATCTCTCCCACATCTGGTCCCCTATTTCTTATATCCCAAATATTCTTCTGGTTCATTCCTCTCTTGCACATAAATAAGCACATTCAACAATAGCTTCCTGGGAAAGGTTACACGGAACTAGGTAAGTTTTTGAGAATTTGCATACCATTAAATTATTTAGTGCCTTTTTGCACATAACTAATAGTTTGACTGAATGAATAATTCTAGTTTGAAATAATATTTCCTCAGAATTTTTCATTTATTTCTCTATTGTCTTCTACCTACCAGTGTTGCAACACAAAAGTCAGATACCATTCTCACTCCTGACCCTTTTATATAATTCTTTTTCTCTTTTGAAGCATTTAGGATCTATTCTTTATTCCTAGTGTTCTGAAATTTCAGGATATTTTTTCATGAGTCTGTTGTTGTTCATTTTGCTGGACACTCAGAGACAATTTCCTGCCTTTAGAATTAGGACCTTCAGTTTGAAAAAACTTTCTTGTTCTTTGGCAATTTCTACCCCACCATTTTGTTGTCGTTGTTGTTCTCTCTTTTTGAACTTAAATACTGATATCTTGGATTAAGCCTCTAATTTTTTTTCATTTATCTCCTGCTCTACATTCTTTTCTTATCCTATTTTCTGGGAAATTGCTTCAATCTTGTCTTCTCAGCCTTCAACTAACTTTTAAAATATTTCTATCACTTTTTTCTTTTAATCTTCACCTATCCTCACCCTAAGAATATGTTTTTATCATGTGTGATGAGAAAGAGAGAGAGAGAGAGAGAGAGAGAGAGAGAGAGAGAGAGAGAGAGTTGCCTCCTGCATGTGCCATTACTGGGGATCAAACCCACAACCGAAGTATGTGCCCTGACCAGGAATCAAACCTAAGACCTTTCAGTACATGGGATGATGTGCCAACCATTGAGCACACTGGCCAGGTCTCTATCATTTTTTTTTTTTTAATTTCTAGAGCTCTTCTTTCCTCATTGTACTTTTTAAGTATCCTATTCTGGTTTTATGAATCTTGTCTATCATAAGCTATCACAGCCCTAACCGGTTTGGCTCAGTGGATAGAGCGTCGGCCTGCAGACTGAAGGGTCCCAGGTTCGATTCCGGTCAAGGGCATGTACCTTGGTTTCAGGCACATCCCCAGCAGGAGGTGTGCAGGAGGCAGCTGATCGATGTTTCTCTCTCATCGATGTTTCTAACTCTCTATCCCTCTCCCTTCCTCTCTGTAAAAAATCAATAAAATATATTTAAAAAAAATAAGATATCATAAAGGGTTTTGTTTTTATATTTTCTTGATTCTTAAGTCTTTTTTCCCCCTGAATTCCTGGGTGAGTGTTAGCAAGTGAGTTAGGTTTGGTCTCTGTTAGAGGCTTTCCTCAAAAATCTAGCAATCTGTCCTACAGATATTTGAGTGAAACAATAAAAAGCTGACTAGAAGCCCTGTTAACAATATACTTTGCTCTAGGATAACTAATCTGAAGTCCAGACTTTGCCTTAGGAAACTCCCCAAATAACAATATCTATAGATACTTTCTCAGGAGCTGCTCTCTCACCTTCCCTCTGGCATATGTACGTCTGGCAGCCAGCACTGTCGGAGCTCGTAGCAGTGGATGCTGAGAAGGCTTCTCCTTTTTCTACTGTAAAAACTTGTATTTGGCTTTTCTGTTTTCAGTACCTCACTCATGCCTCACACTATGCCTGGTATGCCAAATTCCTAACTCTCTCTGATTCAACTTCTCTAATGAATAAATATAATATTCCATTATATAGTATACACATGCACAAAAATGGAATTACACTATCCACATTACTCTTTGTCTTTTTTCTTCCCTTTAAAAACTTTTCACGACGGTCTGCAGCCGCCCAGGAGGGAGGCTGCTGCTGCAGGCCGGGCTGCTCCCCGTGTCCGGAGCCCGGGCTGCAGCCTGAGAGCCTGTCCTCATCCCCCTGTGCAAGTCCCTGCCCTGGAACATGACGAAGATGCCCAACCACCTGCACCACAGCACCCAGGCCAACGCCATCCTGGCCATCGAGCAGTTCGAAGGTCTGCTGGGCACCCACTGCAGCCCCGACCAGCTCTTCTTCCTCTGCGCGATGTACGTGCCCATCTGCACCATTGACTTCCAGCACGAGCCCATCAAGCACTGCAAGTCGGTGTGCGAGCGGGCTCGGCAGGGCTGTGAGCCCATCCTCATCAAGTACCGCCACTCGTGGCCCCAGAGCCTGGCCTGCGAGGAGCTGCCGGTGTATGACCGCTGCATGTGCATCTCTCCCGAGGCCATCGTCACTGCGACGGCGCCGATTTTCCTATGGATTCTAGTAATGGAAACTGTAGAGGGGCGAGCAGTGAATGCTGCAAATGTAAGCCTATTAGAGCTACACAGAAGACCTATTTCCCGAAACAATTACAACTATGTCATTCGGGCTAAAGTTAAAGAGGTCAAGACCAAGTGCCATGACGTGACTGCAGTGGTCGAGGTGAAGGAGAGCCTGAAGTCTTCTCTGGTGAACATTCCAAGGGACACGGTTAACCTGTACACCAGCTCTGGCTGCCTGTGTCCTCCACTTCATGTTAATGAGGAATATATCATCATGGGCCATGAAGATGAGCGTTCCAGATTATTATTGGTGGAGGGTTCTATTGCTGAAAAATGGAAGGATCGACTGGGTAAAAAAGTTAAGCACTGGGATATGAAGCTCTGTCACCTTGGACTGAATAAAAGTGATTCTAGCCATAGTGATTCCACGCAGAGTCAGAGTCTGGCAGGAACTCTAAGCCCCAGCAAGCACGTAACTAAGTCCTGAAATGCGGAAAGAACATTGGTGGACTTCCTATTAAGACTTGCATTGCTGGACTAGCAAAGGAAAATTGCACTATTGCACGTCATATTCTATTTTTTACCACAAAACTCATGTGGTAACTGATATTACTTCTATTTTCTCTTTTGTTTTCTGCTTTTCTCTTTCTTCCTCCCCACCCCCGTTTTTTGTGGTCTGAGTGCAGATCCTTAAATATATGATATGTATTCTATTTCACTAGTCATGGGAAAACTGTTCTTTGCAATAATAATAAATTAAACATGTTGATTTTTAAAAAAAAAACTTTTCAAAGTTACTTTTCTATGTCTGTACCTGTAGCTCTACCTTCTGCTAAGGGTACTTGTTATCAAGAGGCATTACCCTTAAAATGACAACTTGATCTGAAAATCATGCTAATTTGTTAACGTGTTAATTTTTTAAGCAAAAATTCCCAATTAACTGAAAAGTCATTTGCATAAAAATTGGTATATGACATTCAACAGACTGATCACATCAAACATTACCTTAAAGCATCAATAAAAAGTATTAAAATTTGTCATTTATGTTATTTATGTCATTAATATCATTTTATTTATATACATCTATCCCTACCACCTTTCCATTCCTCCCCAAACCACTATACTCTGAGCACCCAAAATCTTTATGGAAATTCTTGTGAGTGTGCCATGTCATGCTTCTATTTTAATTCAAATAAAGATTTCCATGTAGGAGAAACTAAGATGGCGGCATAGGTAAATACCGGGAAATTGCTGCCCCCCACAACAACTTCAAAATACAACGAAAAGACAAAACGGACATCACCCAGAACTACAGGAAGGCTGGCTGAGTGGAAATTCTACAACTAGAAGGAAAGAAAAGCACACTGAGAGCCAGAGGAGCTGCGGAAGTAAAGTGCAGAGGTACGGAGGTTCATGCGCGGAAAGGAGCTGGCACCTGAGGACGCAGCTGTCTTTTTGAATCGGGAGGGAGTCACAAGCTCCCGACTGCTCTGAACTCCAGTTCTGGGAAGTCTCTGGGGACCCAGAACTCATACGGGGAGAAACTGGACTGTCTGGCAGCAGGCAGAACTCTGAACTCGAGGGCGGCTTTCCCTCAGAGGTGCTTGCAGCAATTATCGGGACACTGAGACACGCGACCCCTTAGGGCAGGGCTGAGAATCCGCCATAGCTGCTTGCTCCACCCTTTGATTCCCTGAGACCCCGCCCCACCCAGGCTGCAGCAGCGGCTTTTGCATATGAATGCCCTGGCCCTTTGGAACCTGAAAATTACCTAAAAAACTGCAAGCGGGCTAGACAGACCCAGAACTTCCAAGAGAAGGTCCAAGGCCCCACAGCAGCTTCACAGCTGGGCCTCATCAGGGCACCTCCAAACTCCCAAAAAGGAAGGGGAGTCTGCAGTTCTCTTCATAGCTCCTGCCGGGTAACCTCAGGCCAAGGCTAAATTAGCACCTCCTTAGATCCAAGAGCCAGTGTACCCAGTTGTCAGAGGGGGACCATCCAGATTACAACTCCTCAGATCCATAAGGGACACACTCAGGGGGCAGA